GGGCAGCTGCCTTTGTCGAAAGGGGAAGTGTTGTGGTAGAAGAGGGCTAATCAGCAGATGCCTCTGCCCTGGGTTAGGGACACCAACACCCCTCCAGCAGGGGCTCTATGTCCTGCAGCCAGGAGGGCCCCCTCTTCCTGACGGAAGTACGTAAAAGTACGTAATCATAACACACTCAACCCTGAGCCTGTCCTTCTGGGGTGTTGGTCAGGCCTTCCACCAATTCAGGAAGCAGTGAGAGGCCAGGTGAAGAGGCTCTTGCAAACAAGGAGGCCTCAAGCTGAAAAGGAAGCCTGTCTCCTTCCTAAATGAAACCTCCAAGTGTGTGAGAGTAAACGCCTTTTTGTTCAGAGGGAGGGACGCCACAGCCAGGACCCCACACTCAGCACCATCGTTGCTGTCCCCAGAATGCAGCGTTAAACAGGACAACCAAGAACAGAGGGAGGCTGCTCCAGGAGGGCCCAGGCCTCCATCCCCTTTGGTCCTCCTCTGGAATGAGGTGTGGCCTCCCCTGCTCTCACACACGAACACTGAATTTCTCACAGAGGTGACACTTGAAACCTAAGGGGGATCTGAGCCCCAGAGGAAGGTCCAGGTTTATAGTTAAAGGGGGAAGACTTGGTTTTATGAAATAAAAGGGAACCCTCTGATGGCTGGGGTTTTATTCAAAATAAGACATGTGGGGATAGATGGGATGTGCCAGCGAGGCTGAGCCACAGGCAGGATAAGCTTTAGATCAGCGGTCCATGGCATGGACTCCCAGTGCTCGGGCCTCCTCACTGTCCCCCATGAGTGGCCATGGGCCCATGGCATGTGACATACAGCTCAGCCCAACTGGGGATGAAACTGTAGGGTCTGGGCCTGATTAGCCTGCATGGCTCAGCCCTTGGACCACACATGTAACCCCATCTGTACTCATGGCTGACTATGGGGCCAGGGGCCACGTTCAGAATGCTGAACCTCAGTTAACAAATAAATTATATATACATATGGCCTGGTGCACAAATTTGTGCATGGGTGAGGTTCCTTGGCCTGGTCGGTGATTGGGGCCCATTGGGGGGCCATCTAGCCCATTCCTGATCAGGCTGATCAGGGTGACTGGTGGGGGTAGGGACCATGGGAGGTTGGCTGTGGGAGCACACTGACCACCAGGGGGGAGCTCCTGCATTGAGCATCTGCCCCCCTGGTGGTCAGTGCATGTCATAGTGACCAGGTGGATGAGTTGTTCAGTTGACTGGTTGTAACAGTCACTTAGGCTTTATATATATATGTGTGTGTGTGTGTATGTGTGTGTGTGTGTGTGTATGTATATGTGTGTGTGTGTGTGTGTGTGTGTGTATCTATATAATTTAAAAAGTGGAGGCTATAAAAAGGTTTCTAGTGGAAGAGATTAAAACTATAATTACATTCTATGTAGAAAATAATGACATGGAGAGAAGACCCAGAGAAGACTGGCCTAAGAGAGGAGGCCAATGATATTTTCAGAGAAAAATATATAATCTTCAGTGTTTTCATTTACTGCGACATAATGAAGGTCAGTTTTTCAAACTGAGTATTCTGACCAAGATGGTGGAAAGAAAGATAGAAAAAAAAGAAAGAGTAAAGATAAAAACAGAATTTATTAAGTGAGAGAAAAGGAGAAAGCAGGGTTGATTGCTAATTCATTCTTATGACTGTCTCATGTCCCTCTGCATGTTTTTCTGGCATCTCTGAGCTTCTTCCTCCAGCCTGGTATTCTGTATTCACAACCTTCATCCGTCTCATCTCCTTTTACCAGGTTTTCTAAGAACTTATGTGAACCAGGCTGCATTTTTCTGGTTTGAATATTTTAAAGAAGCAACTAGATATTTCACAATGTTCCCTCTTGCAGATGGGTAGTGATAATCAGAGGCCACCCCCGCCAACACAAGCAGAGGGTTCTGTGGTACCCAGAGGCATTCACCAATGACCTCCCAGGTTAGCTAATGCAACCACTACCTGGGGACATTCATCCAGGCCAAAGTTGAGTGGCCAAGGGTTTGTGTGCAACTCCAGTGTCTTTGGATTTCTACGATGGCCACAGAGGGATGAGGTGGGAAGAGAGCCTGTTTCATCAAGGATATGGCTGGACCAAGTAAGTTTGGGCATTTTAAGGAAAAGCTGGACTTATAGGCTATCCTGTGGCAGGCCCTAAACAGAGGGAAGAGTAGGCTTGCAAAGAGCGCTGAGTGTGGGAATTGCCCTCAGCAGCTTCATTCCAGGCCTCCCAGGTCAGGTGTGTGCACAGCTGCCTCTGGGCCTTAAAGGTGGCTGCTGGCTTCTGATGGCTAATGATGGCCACTATGGCCAGCGAGGAGAGGACAGCACAGCAGGAACACTCATCCCAGGCCATTGACCAGCACAATGCTTCATGCGAAGACAACAGGACTGGTCCCATTCCAGTTCAGACCATCTAACAGCTCTACCAAGCCTGGTATTTCATATTGCCTTGGAATTTCTAGAAAACTCCAAAACAAGAACAAAATGGGAAAAAGAAAACAGAAGAGGTAAAAACAATGAAGAAAGACAAAACTATCATTCTTTATATGTTAAATGATTCCTTTGAAAAACATACCAAGTTGAACTTTAAAAGGCAACTGAATAATAGTATTTAGAATTCTGTGAGCTGGCAGATTACAAAAGAAATACACAAAAGCCAGTAATTGTTTACTTTTGTTCTTACATATCATCATAGTTGCAAGATCCATTACAGTAGTAACAAAAAAATGTGAGTTAACTTAATAAAGAAGACATTCAGGACCTGATGAAGGGTTCAACACCGTAGGATGTCAATTCTCAGCAAATTTATTTATAGACTAGAGGTGCAGTGTAGGAATTCATGCACAGGTAGGGTCCTTCGGCCTGGCTGGAGATCAGGCCAATCAGGGCTGGCCATCTGGGGGAAGGGACCTAGGAGGTTGGCCAGCCATGTGAGGTTGACTGGGGGAGTGCACTAACCACCAGCCACAGCTCCAGTGTTGAGTGTCTGCCCCCGATGGTCAGTTTGCATCCTAGTGACCAGTCAATCGGTTCTTTGGTTGTTCAGCCTTTGGTCACTTAGACTTTTATATATATAGATTGGACACCATTTCAATCAAAACAAAAATGTATTTGGGAGAAACTTCCCAAAGTGATTCAGATGTTCACTTGGGGCAAATAAAATAAAATAAAATAATTGCTTAAGAACAGCCTAGAAAATATTGAAGAATGGCCAGACTGGCATGGCTCAGTGGTTGGACATCAACCTATAAACCAGAAGGTCATGGTTCAATCACTGGTCAGGGCACATGCCCAGATTGTCTGCTTGATCCCCAGTGTGGGGTGTGCAGGAGGCAGCCTATCAATTATTCTCTCTCAGTATTGATTTTCTATCTCTCTCTCCTTCTCCCTTTCTCTCTGAAATCAATAAAAATATATTTTTTTAAAAAAAATAGTGAAGAATGGGTAGCTAAGAGGCAGGGCTGCTATGCCCATTTGTCACAGGCAGAAATCTGCAAAGGGTAAAAGAGGGACTCCTGAACATCCAAAAGAACCCAAAAAGTTGTGCAGGAAAGAGATGGGTGTGGCCAGGTGTTCTATAGGTGTGAGAACTTGGACCCTGATCCTCTCCTCTTCCAATGAATGGAGGTGGGGGACATGATGAAAGGGTGGGTGCAAGGAGGAATCCTCATCCTCCAGATCCCTGGATCTTTTCTCTTGTTTTTGTTGTGCCCCTAACACCTAACCCCTCACTCTTCCTTGTCAACAGAGCCCCGAACATTAGTGTGGGCACATTTCCCAGCCTTCTTCACAGGCAGGTGTGGGCATATGACTAAGTTCTGGCTAATGGGTCAAGCAGAGACGCTGCATGCGACTTCTGGGGTGGGTCCTGGGAAGAGAGCTAATTGCTCTTCCCCTGTTTTCTCTCTCCACTGTCGGAATACAGATGTGACAAGTGGGCCAGGAGCAGCCATCATACACCATAAGAAGAGTAAAGCCATACACAGCTGACCACTGCCCTCCTTTAAGTCATTGCTCAGATGTCATCTCCTCATGGGGCCCTTCTGAACAGCCCTTTCCCAATCTCATCCTTCCCAGATCTCTTCTTGTTTGCTTCTTAATCAGAGCTCCGACCTCTGCCGCCACTTTAGAATGTATGCTTCAAAGCGGCAGGGATCTCTGCCTTCTGTGTCAGCCACAGGCCTGGTATAGCTAGGCACTAGTAAATATTTACTGAATGAATAAATGTGCAAACCAGGCTGCATATTGTAAAGTGCGAAGTGAATAAATGAACAGTGGTAACAATAGTGGGGTAATAGTAAGCCCTGTATTGTAGGAGCCCACAAATAGAGTGGCTGATTCTCTCCCAGGTTTCCTAGTCCATTGATTCTCACCGCTCCGGACCCCCAGTCTCATCTCTCCCTCCCTGCCCTTCACTCTCCAGAGCATACCTCTCCCAGACTCCAGGACTGAGGCCCCACCCCTGGGCCATTAGTACCTGCTCTCGGTGGGCGTGGTCAGTGGTCCCAGGCCGGCGTCCACGTGCTGGGGGGCCGATGACCTCCGGAACCAGACATCTCCGGCGTCCCATTGCTGGTCCCTCTCCTGCCCAGGCCCTGGCTTTCTGACCCTGGACGCCTGGGACGCGATAGGGTCTCTATGATCTTGCAGTGCGACCCCCGAGGTGGTGTTGCTCGCAAGGGACAGGACTGGCTTCGATTCAAGATTTTACCCTGTGCCCCCGCTCCCGGCGATGCTCCCGGGAGCCTGAACTCGCAGTCCATCGACGGCCTCCTCCGGGCCGACAGCGCCCCGCCCCCACCTCCGCCCGGCCCATGTCCCGCCCAGCTGCTCTCAGCCCCTGCCCGCCCCGCCCCGCCCCTGCCCGCCCTCACCCCCCCTCTGCCCCGCCCCCCGCCCCGCTCCGCCCCCACCTGCCTTCCCCGGTGCAGGCCCGGCTCTGGTTCCGCAGCCTTCCCGGCGCCCGGGGACCGGAGGCCACCATGTCCCAGCGCTTCGTGGTGACCCCCGCGGGGGGCGGAGTGGAGAGTCCCGACCCCGCGGCTGCCCCGGACCCGCCGCGGGTGGACGCGATGCCAATCCTGCACTACGGACGGGAGCCCAGCCGCTACGGTAGGCGCGGCCCGACGGGGACTCCCCCGGGGGCGCGCGGACGCGAGTGGCGGGAGGGGGGCCAGCGGATTAGGGGGGAGAGCTGCCCGGGGGCTGGGCTTGGGGATGACCAAGTGGGGTCCCGCGGTCAGCGCAGGGTGAACCGGTGCGGTGCGTCCAGAGCCCAGAGCGTTCCTTCTCCCGGGAGACTTGGCCAGCAGCCGATCCCTGCCGGCGGTCTGCCCGCCTCTGGGCCTGGAGGGAGATGCGACGGCAGCGGCTTTGTCCTTGGGAACTGGCGGTGACAGCTCCCGCCCTCTGACCTCGTGCTCCTGGAGCGCAGATCCTGTGTGTGGGATATGTGTGGGGTGCGATTTGCACCCTCCAAGGCAGTGCTCTGCTGGGCTCCTGTCCGGTGAGGCGGCTCGAGGGCCAGTGAGCCTCCCTGCGGGGCTGTGCTTTTATAATCTGTGCAGCCCTGGGTCAGTGGCTCCGTGTGTCCTCTCCCCCAGTGACCTCACCCGCCTTTAATCACTTTAACATCTAACGTCTTCCTTCCTGTGCCTTCCCTTTTGAGAACTGACTTCAAGGAATTGAGAAGTGTTGGCAGCCACATTGGTGTCCCCTGCCTTGCCCCTCTGTGAGGGGATGTGCAGACAGTGTCTCTCCTGGGCATTCACTGCTCACATAGGTGGGCGCCCACAGCCCTGGGTATGGAGGGTGGGGGTGAGGGAGGGCAGGCGAAACCTGGTTGCCTCGCAGCGAGAGCAGAAGCAGGGTCTGACTGAATCTGAAAGGCTGTTGGAGGCCTGTCCCGCCACTGCAGTCTCTCCACGTGGGTGAGGATTGGCCTCACCCCCATCCTATCCCGGGGCACACTGCCCTTGGGCTCTCACTCCAGGACCTCGGCTGTTCCAGGGCTGATGTGGATCTGAGCTACCTGCCTTGTGTGTGCGATATGCCCAGTTGTCCCCGAAGGTCAGCTAGGGGGAGGCAGCTCTTTAGGTAGAAGGGCCTCCTGTCTGTCCGCGCCCCCAGGGGAAACTCAGTCAGTGAGTGTCCTGTGTGTGCACGCGGTGAAAGAGGGAGCACTAAGTGTGAGGGCTCAGGTTTTATTTTTTAAAAATATGTTTTTATTGATTTCAGAGAGGAAGGGAGAGGGAAAGAGAGAGAGAAACAATAATAAGAGAAAATCATTGATCAGCTGCCTCCTACACACCCCCCTACTGGGATGGAGCCCACAACTGGGAATTGAACCGTGACTTCCTGGTTCATAGGTCAACCCTCAATCACTAAACCATGCTGGCTGGGCTGGGGAAGAAGTCTTAGATGCTTGTTCAACAAATCTTCCATTGAGTTACTGGGACGTTCCATTAGCATCATGGTGATACCTAAGTGGTATCTCCCATGTGAGCAGTGGGCTTTTTGTGATGTGGGTGTGGATGTGGTATGCATGCACATATGCATGTGGGTATATGTGTTGCAAACACCCACTCTTTAGGACAGCACCATTGGCACAGATGTGGGATGTGTGCATGCATCCAAATCTACTTTGAGTTCTAGGTCAGGTGTGAATAGGTGGACCAGACATTTGTCACCTTGATGGTGGCGGGTTCTCAGGTCCTACTCCCTCCCTGTCACTCTTCATTCCTTATGCTCCAGGCCGGGTGTGTGGCAACAGCTGTGCACTTGTGGTATCAACCCCAAAGCAGAGGTGACCCTCTCCATAGGGCCCCCAATGGGCTGTGGCCCAGATAGAGGGTGCTCTCTAGTGGGGGGCTGAGGTGTCACTTGCTCCAGCTTACCCAGTAATGCAGTCCTTTTGTTTTCCTCTGTGAGCAGGTAAGTCCACAAGCCATTGATTAGAATATAAGCCAAAGCAACCGATTATTTCTTAGCAGTGAGATGAGTTGTTGCTTCTGGGCAATGGAGCTGGGTCCGTACTCCCTCGGGGTGCTGGTCCAGGTTCTGTACTGACCCTGGCCTGGGCTTGCTCAGCCCCAGGCTCTCCTCACAGGAACTGGGGTCTCTGTGGCCTTGGTCTCACCTCTGGGCTGGAAGATGGACTTCCAGTGGGCACCGCCCCAGTATGAGGCTGTTCTCCCAGCCAGTAGGGCTCGGCTTCCAGCATCTTAAGCAGGGGCACAGCTCTGGGTCAGCAGACCCTCCAGGTCCTCCTCTTGCCACATCCCCCTCTGGGCCTCTCTGCTTCCCAGGCCCTTGGTACTTAGCGTGCTGGCCGGTGCCCCTGCGGAGAGGGTTCGGTGCCAGGAGACATGGTCAGGTCTCGACTTGTCTCTCTGTTCTCTGTCAGGCTGTTGAGATTTTCATCTTCATGCTCACACGGAAGAAGGGCATTTACCAGAGTCCTCGATGTGGCAATCATGAGATAGGCTGTTGGGGCCAGGGGATCCCGTCTGACCCTAGCATTCCCCCATACCCACCTTCACCTCTTCTTGTAGCCTGCTGTCCAGGAGGCAGGCCTCCCTTTCTCCTTCCCACCATCACCCAGGCAGGGAGGGGCCACCTCAGCCATCCCCCACGTCAGTTCTCAGGTGTGGAAACTGCTGAGCCAGCAGCCACTTTCTGCTCCACTGCTTGGCTGGCTAGTGTGTGCCCATAGACCTTGGGCTCTATGGTGCAGGAGTTCTAGCCCGCAGCCAATCAAATGATTTTATGTTGTGCCCACTATATGAGAAAAAAATTCCTATTACTTGGTGCTCCATTTAAACAGTGCAACTGGGCTTTATTGGTACTCCTTGGTCCAAGCCAGGAAGTGGAATGTGGTGGACACTTATCTACAATTGTCCTTTCTCTTTCAGTATATGTGTGCATGCGTGTGTGTGTGTGTGTGTGTGTGTGTGTGTGTGTGTATTTGTGTGTGTGTGTGGCAGTGGGGAGGGGGGGTTCATGGGGAAGGTGGGCTAGAGGAGGGGGTGAAAGAGGAGAATTTCTAATCCTTCGTGACACCAGCCTCTCGACTCACAGACTCCCAGTGCCTCATCTGTGTCTGTCTGGTGCCTCCCTCGGTGTCCGCTCAGACCAGTTCCCCTCAAGTGCAGTGTATGGAGAGAGTACGCTGCCTTCAGGTCTCCCTTCTCTGGTCAGGGCATAAGCCCAGCTCTGAGTCCCCATGCCTATGTCTCTGGCTCAGCCAGCATTCCCTGAGGGCTCCCGCTGGAGTCCACAGCACACACTGGTCACAACAGTGTGCCACTGAGCATGTAAGGGACATAGAGCCTTCCGTCTCACAGGTGTGACTCCCTGCCTCCTCCCTACCCCCACATGGCTGCAGGAGGGGAGACGTAGCATGTAGAGCCTTCCGTCTCACAGGGAAGGTCTGGCTATGCTGCCATGGGATGGAAATGTCTCACCTGATCTACCAGGTTCCAGTGAGCGAGGCTGAATCATTGCTGTCCTCTTTTTCCCAGTACAGGGTGCTGGTGGGACCCTCAATGCAGTTCCTTTAGTGGGATGGTCAGAGGTGGTTGCAGATCCAGAGTCAAGACATGAGATGGACATGTCCCCCTCAGCCCGAGGGCAGAGGAAGAGAGGGTCCAGCCTGTGCAGAGGCTGCCTGGCAGACAGTGATGTCCAGGGAGGGTCAAAGCCAGCTGTAGGCTATGTGGAGGCACCCATCCCCTTCCTTCTTCCTATGGCCCCAACCCCCAGGGCCACACCTTGGAGAGAAGCTTGGCTCTTCAGGGGCCAGACTCTCCTAGAACACCTCCTTGTTTCTGTAGCCTGAGGTGGGCTGCACCAGTGTAGAAGGTTCTGGATGTGAGTAGGGCAGCTTGTCACCTCCCCAGGGGCTAATGGGAAGAGAGCATCCCCCTGGGCTGATAGGGACAACAGGAGGCCATTGGCATTGGAGAATCAGCCGGGCAAGCTGTCCATCTAGGCAGGGAGCAGTAGCCAAGGGACCTGGTCTGGTCAGGCACCACCCTCAACACCACAGCAGTCTGGGAGCGGGGTGCGGAGTAGGCACATAGATTGGGTGGAGTGAGGGGCTGGAGGACAAGCTGGCTCCCCAGTCACCCTGTGTGACAGATCCTCAACCTGTCCTTGGACCCCAGCCCAGCCTACCCCTCACACCTCCCAGACGGTGCATCTGTGCTTTGTGGTCATTCATGGTGTTGGTTGTAGGATTCTGCTTGAAGAAAATTTCGGGAAAAGCCCCATTTTTCTGGCTGAATGTGGTGTTTTCTGTCAGGACCCAGGCTGCTGTAGTTCCCTCTTGGCCGACTGACACCAGGACTGGCTGGCGGCTCTGATGTCAATCTTCCCCCCTCCTCCCCCTCTCCAGTGTGCTGGGCAGACTCTGTTTCCTTTCCCTTAAATATTTTATGGACCACGGTGCATGCTAATCTGCTAGCCGCTCCAGAGCAGTGTTTCTGTCCAGGACACCCAAGAATTCTTCTAATCCTGAAGAATTCTCGCCTTGGTGATTTCTAACTTGGCTTAAAAACACACACGCTTGCAGTTACAGCAATTGTTTCTTTCTTTCTTCCTTTCTTCCTTCCTTCCTTCCTTCCTTCCTTCCTTCCTTCCTTCCTTCCTTCCTTCCTTTCTTTCCTTTTTAATGTCCAGTTTGGTTTATTTTTAAAAGTATATTTTTATTGATTTCAGAGAGGAAAGGAGAAGGAGAGAGAGATAGAAACATCAATAATGGGAGAGAACTATTGATTGGCTGCCTTCTGCACATCCCCCCTACTGGGATCAAGCTTGCAACCTGGGCATGTGCCCTTGATCACAATTGAACCCGGGACTCTTCACTCTCAGGCCAACACTCTCTTCACTGAGCCAAACTGGCTAGGGCCAGTTTGGTTTCTTTTTTCCAAGGGCTGAGTATCATGCGTTTTGAGGCATCAACCTTCTTTATATATACATTAAATTTTTCTTTAAATAAAGGCTTTACCATCCAAGAATAGAATCACAGCTTGGTCTCAAAGCGTGAGTTGGGGTCTGCATAGTGGAGTTGACCTCTTTGGTCTCTAGGCAGAGCTACCCACACACAGGGGACCCCTGGGGTCCCCCAGTCCTCGCTGCCCATCTCTGTAGTGGTCACTTCACATGGGTAACAAACACAAGAACATCTGTGTTCTGGCAGCCACCCAAACATCCTTACCCCACTGGGAGGCTGCGAGGGCAGGTGCAAGACCCCAGGACACAGGAGCATCACCTGGAAGGCCTCCTGTGCTGTAGGCATCTCCTGCCTGGAACCCTGGCTGCCCTGTCCTCCCAACCTCCCCCCAGGCCTCTGCCCCATGGGCTCAGGCTTGAAGTCTGTATTTGCATCCATGGA